ATAAAAGTTAGGGGGGGCGCTCTAAGGATAGTGGCTGATGGACCTACAGCTACTCAACCCGAAGGCTTTCAAAAGAGTTTATATTTTCCAAAAATGAGCTCAAACAGATATTTATTGAATGCTTTCCTATTGTTGAGAAAACAAGAGTTGTCATGATCTACCCTGTTTGCTCTCCCTTAATTGGTTATTTCTTTCATCTGTCGTTTTCCCTCCCTGCCTCAATTATCATTTATTCCTCTCACCTGTTTCCTTTGGTTTATATTCTGTTCAGCAATTGGCACCAGGATTTATTGCAGAAGGAATCAGGAAGCAGAGGATATCGGGTTATATTTGAATTTTTGAAACAGGTTAGGTTGTATAAAAGGATATAGTTTTTTTTTTTTTTCTGCCATGTGGTCTACACTCCTTACCAGTTGGTGGCGGTAATGCTCACCTAACGTTTTTTGCCAACCGCGAATAAAACTCAATAAGAAGAAGAAGAAGAATTGGCGTCAGATCATTAATTGTTTTTCTGTTATGTTGATTCCAAGGTTCATGTCCTGGATCCTGGCGGCCAGTGGAAAAAGGGTTTTGCAGACATCCCAAGTTCCAAAAACTCATTTCAGGGAGACACTTGACCTGACAGATGAATTTAACAGTTTTTCTTGAGTTATAATTCAAATTTTATAGAAAACGGTAGTTTTAACCTAAGTCAAAAATATGTAATATATAAAATAATAATTCCAAAATTATACATTTATATTGACCTCATAAGAAATAGAACTTCTATTGAACCTAACTGAAAATACATTTTACTTCATGCAGCTCTCTTAATATATTTGAATCTCTTGCCCTGTTTTTTTATTTCATGCTTTTCTGTGCCCCCATGTAAACATGCTGCCCCCCTGGTACATTTGGTCTAGATCCGCCACTGTTCCTCACCTTCACTAGACGTGGATATACTTTAGTTTACTCGAGGATTCAACCTCTGCTATTTTCACAGGAAGCACAGCTTTGAGTGGTAACTAGGTGACTGCCAGAGAGTAACCCAGAGAAACTTATCGGACTGATCCAATCAGCTCTCTGACAACCAGTCGGCTGGAATGCTGGTTGAACAAAGCATCGCTTTGGACAGATACGCTGCACAGGACTCACCAGCATCACACTCTATCCCCCACCAGCATCCCCACACCCCAATCTCTTTTGTCTGCACAATCGCAGCAGTTCTTGTAAACTTGGATATATATTTTATTGCATGTTCTGCAGCTGTCCCTAACTGTTCTCTGCTCTGCTTAAAACAGATTTATGAACACCCCTGTGGACACTCCTACCATGTATTTCCCTCTAATACAGATAGTGGCAAAACATTTTAATTTTTCATATATTAACAATTACTTGATAACAAAAACACTGTGGTTAATTCTGCACATCAATATACCAACATTAAAGTTAATAAGTACAGAATTCCTGCTCTTTTCAGAACTAAAATTGGTTTTTTATGGGATGAAGAGAAAATTATGCGTCTCTGCAAGTCATCTGGAAGTCTTAAGTGAAATCATAGATAAGTAACTATTTTAATGAAAACTTATTAAATAATCAATTAATGTAGATATTAGTACTCGTAAATATTAATTTTATTAAGAATAGGTAAGTAATGACAATAGAAAAGATTTTTCGTCAAAACTCAAATCTGAAAATTTTTTATCCACTTTACCGTTTATGTAGAAAGCACGGATATTTGAATATATTCCTCTATTTGTTAGCAAAGGCTGTGGGAAAGTATAGTTAGTCTTTATTTAGAAATATTAATGTTTTGCTCGTTAATTTTCCTGTTGGAACAGTGTAGTACCCTGAGATTCTGGTGTCTATCTACTTTTGGCCACCCCTCAGGGTATATTGGTTATTTCCTGGCCACTCTAATAGAAATTTTCTGGCTTCGCCTCTTGTCTACCAATGTAATAATGCCAGAGAAAATCATTTTCAAGATATCTAGAAACTCTGCAGTCTGATTCTCTGTTCAATAAGAAAACAACAGATATGTGTTCATTTTAATCTGTAACTCTGAGTGATGGTCTTTTGAGAAGCCCAGCTTTTTAACTTATATAAATGTACAATCTGTTGCCATTTTTAGCTGAAAAAAACAACCCGTCTCCTAACTTTTAGTGAAACAGTAGCTGCCGGAGATAATATTCACGGAGTGCTGCTGCGTCTCTCCTCCAACCACGTAGCTTCTCTGTACACAGTGAATAGCGACCCCAAATAATAATATGTCCCAAAGCGACAGATCCGATGATGTTACACCGAGAGGTGGGACTCAAGAGCAGCGGGAGAGGGAGGAAAAAAAGGGAGAAAAAGCAGAAATTATTGGTCGGGACTGTCCCCTCCATGCCCAAAGTTGGTGGGGACATGTCCACACCAGTCCTTCAGAAAGTTACGCCAGTGAACCTAGTTATGTTTTTGCATTTATGCTTTGCAGTCTGACCAGACATTTGAATTCACCCCATCTAAAATGACTGAAATTGTATTAAAAATATATATTTTCTTACTCGTCTGCGACTTGTCCATGGGGCGGCAGTCTCAGCAGAGACTCCCAGACTTCCCTCTCTCCGGACACCTCCAGTTCTGCTGGAGGAAACCCAGGCCAGCCAAGAAACATAGTCCCTCCATGGTGTATTGGGTCTTCCCAATGGCCTCTTCTCAGTGTGACCTGGATATAAGATCACAATCTCAAAACAACCTGTATTAAAAATAACTGCAAGAAAATGGACACAGGAAGCTAAAGAAGCCCCGAAAGGTCTGAAGAAACTGCTTAACAAGAAAAGGAAGCATCTAAGAAGGGAGATAGGGAATTAATGAAAGCAAGGAGGCATACAGGAAGAGGCTGGGGAGCAAACTGAAGCAGAACAAATATCAGAGATATGTGGTCAGGGATAAAGATCACAGGCTTTGAGGATGATGATCAGACAGATGGAAGTCTGGACAGTTACACTGATGTGTAAGACCTCCTGCCTTGTTCCAGTACCATCTGGATCAAAGACTATACCTGACAAACAGACCACAGTTTGTTAAACTGAGGGGCAAACTGTATAATCAAGTAGTAAGCAGCAGAGAGAAGCACAGGATACACTACTCTCATCATTCCTTTTTACTCTGTACACCTCCGATTTCCAGTACTAGACACAGTCCTGTAACAATAATAATAGAACTGTATTGATCTAACAATGGAGAAATTTAACTCTGCATTTAACCCGTCCCCTTGGGGAGCACTGGGCTGCTCAGGAAGTCAGATCGAACCGGGTACTTGCATCCTTCTTAGAGCACAAGCGCCCTGCTCTAACCACTAGGCCAACACTCTGCTGAAGTGTATAAACCCCTTAAGAGATAAGCTGCATTATACCTGCAAGAAGATGGTCACAGGAAGCTAAAGAAGCCCCAAAAGGTCTGAAGAAACTGCTTAACAAGAAAAAAGCAACTAAGAAGTTATCTGAGTATTTCTGCAGGAAGCATAAATACTCTGATGACTCTGCAGTCACTGGGTGCATCAAAGATGGACAAGAAGCTGAGTACAGAAAGCTGGTGAACTGATGAATCTGCATTTTTGTAAACATATCTAACCCTAACTTTTCAATGCTACTTTCAAGTTCAGGTTTGAACAAACTGGACAAATGTAGATGACATCATTCTTTCCTCCAAATAATTGGCCTTTTGACGCTTCACATTAGATCTTAAAGAAGTTGGAATCTGCACCACTCTTACTCAACAAATATGGGACCTAGATTTACAGTTTAAATGCAAAGTTGACTTGTTTGACTGTCTAAAAACAAGGACTCCAATAGCTTTAGCCCCTGACAGCTATATGATTACATGGTGGCTTCTCAAAGATTCATTGCGCATTAAACATCCAAGACTTTCTCAACACATTAATGGGCATTGCCATCTGGTGGTGGTGGAGGAGAAATACACTTTGACTTAGATTTAGATTTAACTTTATTTATCCCTTGGGATTACTCCTTCAGGGAAAATCTGGTTCCAGTAGCTAATATAGAGTCAAAGAGTTAAAGCAAGATGCCATTTAAGATAAAAAATAAAATAAAATATGACAGACAATATAAAAAGAGTGTAGTTCAAAAAAGCAAGTTCGTTGACTTGGGTTATTGCACTCGCACTGCAGAAATGTACTGACCATATGAATGAGTGAAAATTACACAGATCAAACAGTTTTTGACTTGGATTATTGCACTTGTACTGCAGAGATGTACTGACCTTATAAATAGGTTAAAAAAAAAATACACAGTAGTTGGCATGTGAGACAAACAGGGAAGTCAGGAGGCCATGTATGATCAAAAAATCTTTCAAATAAAAATTATATGTATTTTTTTCTTCCTGTAATATACAATTCATATTTATCTTGGCTTTCAAATTTACAGTCAGTAATCAGCTCCACTATG